CTTATGCCGAGTGACAGGAGTACCCATCTTATGGTCTTATACGTAAAGGTTACTTCCAGCATAGTGTAGGGAGCCCTTAGGATGGACGGCACTCGGACGTTGAGGGGGACGGCCATGGTGGAGTTGACAGAAACGATCTTAGCAAGCATTTACGCCTTAGGTTTTAGGTCGGTTACAATCTTCCATTCTGACTTGTAAGCGGTGGAAGGCTACTGTGAGAAGTTCCGCTTTGCAAGCGCCCAGAGAGACCGACTGCCATGGCGCTGTGACATTACTCTGTGCCTAGTTTTTACAAGGTGCTGGTCTACGGCAATGCGAAGCGACGTCGTCTTGTCTGTTTGATTACGATAGGCCTTTTCACGGTTTTTGGCGGGTCATAATGAAGGGCTAATCATGCCATTATGTAAGAAGGGTCAAAGTAAAATGTTCTCGTTTCGGGGGTGAAGGAGGGGGAGTTGCTCCGAAATAAAACGAAAAAGCGGTGGATGAGGGGAGATGGGGCGACGCCTGGCCGATCTCCGCTCTCCTAGAGGAGGAATGTCATGACACCCCTGAATCTCCCTGCAGACATTCGTCAGAAAATTTCTGACAAAAGGGCTGTAGCTAAGCAAGCGAAAAGGTCTTGTCATCCTGATGACATTCTCAGAGCGTCGAATCTTGTTCATGAAGTAAGAAATGCTCTCCATGAATTCCGCAATGAGCAAAGGATCGACTTTCTGGCGTGGATGCTTGACTCAAGTACTCCTCTCTGGAAAGTGGCGCAGTCGCTCAGAAACGGAAAGCGAGAGCAATTCCTGCACATCCACGGTCCTGGGGGCATAGGCAACTATGATTTTGATAATGATCTCGACGGGGAGCAACAAATTGTAAGATCCGTCAGGAGATATTTTGGGGCCAACGGCGTCAGTGATCCCGGCGCCGCCATTAGTGATTGTTCCTCAGAAGTTTCTTTTTCGGAAGATTCCTCAACTTAAGAGTTGCACAGCACATTAGCGGCTTCTCCCGAGATCCCGCATTGTACACCAGCAAAGCTTCAAGGTCATATTAAAGACCTCAATGTGCGTAAAGCGCTTGGGTAGGATCAAATCACTAATAAGGCGCTGAAGCTGCTTTCACGAAAGTCCTTGACTCGTGGTTATTGTCAATGCCATGCTAAGGACCCCGTACTTTCCATCGGCGTGGAAGACTGCGGAAGTTATAATGATTCCAAAGAAGTTAGCTTCGATATTTTTCCAGGACTATCGTCTCATCAGCCTACTGTCTGCTCCATCTAAGCTCGCTGAAAAGGTGATTCTACGTCACCTTGCGAATTTCTCGTCAGATCACCATGTGATTCCTGACGTGCAATATGGATTTCGGTCTGAGCATAGTACGGAGTTACAGGCAGTTTAGACTTGTTTAGCGAGTAACCAGGGGCTTCACCCTTAACGAAAGTACTGGCATCTTGCTTCTGGATGTCTCGAAAGCATTTGATAAGGTGTGGCACAAGGGCCTTTTCTATAAACTAATTCAAAAGGGCTTTCCATTTTGACTCCAAAAACTTTTGAAATCCTTTCTTGAAGGTAGAAAATTTCGGATCAAAATTAATAATTTCTTGTCGACAATACGGCCCATTAGAGCCGCCTCCCTCAGGGTTCGGTTCTTGGGCCAATCCTTTACTCACTTTTCACGCATGATGTCCCTTGCTCTAGCGACTGTGAAGTCTATCTATATGCTGATGACACTGCACTGGTGGCCCAGTCGCGTACCGGGAATCTGGTACACGACAGGTTACAAAGTGTGGTGGATGAAGTATTGGAATGGGCAGATCGGTGGCTAATCAAAATTAATTACTCAAAAACGCAGGCTATCTATTGCACTAAAAAACGTAGCGACGCCCCGCCTGAGGTTTCAGTGAATAGAGCTCGCATCCCATGGGGAAATTCTGCTAAGTATCTCGGTATCACTATTGACAGGGGGATGACCTGGCAGAATCACACTGAAGCGTTAAAAACTAAATTCCAAATTACGTTTCGGCAACTCTATACTTTACTATGTAGAACCTCAACATTAAGTTTGATTAAGAAAGTTAACTATACAAGATGGTTATCAGACCAGCAATCACTTACGCATGTGCAGCATGGTGTTTTCTTGCCAAAATGCATATGAGTAATCTGCAGGTTTTGCAGAACCATCACCAACGCACCATGGTATGTCTCCAACGAGACCCTTCACAGAGACCTTGATATTCCTTATCTAAGCGACTACATCAAACATCAGGCTCAGCTACGTTATAGACAAGCGGAATCGCACAGCAACCCTCTGTTGAATGAGTCAGTAGACTACATAGTCGAGCAAGTTCGCAAGCACACAAGACCGCGGCTCGCACTGTGATCAAAATCAAATCGTGCAATTCTAGATCCAACCAAAATTACCATTTTTTCCACACACAACTTCCTAAATTAATTTTTGGATTAATTTAAAATAACCGAATACCAGTTAACAATAGCAAGGCATCCCTTTAAACGGCACACTTCACCATCTTTGCTCTTCCCCCTTCCTTCCTTTCTTTCTTCTTCCTTTCTTTCTCCCTGACTTCGTCTGGCATCTGGGCCACCAGACCTGACAGACCTACTGACCTACGATACTTTAACAAAGAGCAAAGGTCTCATGGACCGCTCTGACGGGCAATGACGAACAGAGAGACACCCCTGGATCTGCCCTTGCTCACATTAAAAACAACAGGAATTGCTTCCACACATCCATCTCTCTAACAGATACAAATACATATGCAGTCAGCCTCTATGCGCGTACGTTTGTCTAAGCATTGTTTTCTTAATTTTGTTCCATCGCCTTGAAAGCTTGTATAACTTATATAATTATTAGAGTGTTTCTCATATCTTGAAAACCTGGACTTGTAACACTAAGTGATCTCCAGAATCTGTTTCAGCGATTCAAAAACCTATTGTGAGCATGTTTAGGCTTTGTCGATCACCCTGTATTAACTCCCACACCTCCCCATATCCACAATCCAAATGCAGTCTACCAGAAAGTTCCCATTGAAAAAGAAAAAGGTCACACAAACCACACACACACACATGCTCTTGTGCGTAATAAGAATAAGGAAAGCCTATCAGAGCCTCACCTATGGCAGGTATTTCTGCATTTTTATTGGTACATATCTGCCATTTTTATGAAATCGCCGCTGAATATTTACCATGGCAATGAAGTGTTGAACCTTGGAAGCTATGTGACGGAGACAAGAGCTGTTCTTGCAAACGCTGACCGGTTATAGGGTGAACAACTCATCGTTGCATAGTTGAAAATCAACTTTGGATAAGAAAATATTAGAGAGTTAAATGATGTATTATAAGCTTTGCTCTCCCACTTATTGTTTGAATGGGTTAACATGCTGGGATTCTGGGAAACTAATCCATGAATATTATATATTACAGAGATGATGTTAGAAATAGGTTTATTGAACTAGACATAACGACCTTGCCATCTTTATATACCAGGTGTTTCAAATTCGACTTTTACCATTGGAATTTTGAAAACGGTAAAAGATACGACATCGGTTAAATGGGGGCAAATTTGCGCATTTAGGTAAGGTAACTAAGAAAAGGCACTAAGAGAGTTTCGCATCTTCAAGTATTTCTGACATGTACCATTTTATATATTCGTATATTCATTAATGACATTGTTATATCGTTTTTCCATTACTTCTTTAATTATGTAATTTGGCCGTTGAAAATTTTAAAATAGTGAAGGAGTGTCATCTTGGTATATTTTTTATGTGGCAGCGGGTTATTTGATATCTCATTTTGCTGTTTGTAAGTATATACTTTATAACCTTGGATTATAAAATTAGTACCCTTAGGCCCGTATCGTCAGTCGTTCCTTCAATTGTAGGACGCCTTTATGGTCTCCTTGATTTTCATAGTTTTCTACTCATCCGTGTCAGTGCTCTATTTTGAGGTTATATTACAAATATCTATTTGCATCAAATTTTTCATAGCTTTGACTTATATCATCTGTTATATAGCCTGAAATTTCCTATAATTCAAAAAGAAAACATAGTCTGATAATAGGAGAGCGCTGACGCTGAAACGAAATAGTAGAGATCTAGAAATGTATCAGCCTTTCTGAAGGAGAGGAAAGACTATAAAAATCATGGAGGTCATAAAGGCGTTCCACAATTGTAGGACCGACTGACGATACAGCCCTTAGACGGTCAATCATCATAACGTATAGGCATGTTAGATCAATCTCCTTCTTTGAAACGGTCTATCTAAATAACCAATACAATATAGAACATTCGGTTTAAAAAAAATTATAGATTTTGACATTTCTTTTTAAATGGACTGTTCCGTATATTATTACATATTCGCATGAACGTAACATTAGGGCTGTGGTTATTTAGAATTAGACGTTTCCCAGTCCAGTTTGCGATTATGAAGACATTTTTGGAATGAAGAATCTCATCTATTTTTAGTACCTTTTTCTCAAGCAAATAATACCAGGGCGTACGAAAGATGCCCTCCATCAAAAAAAATTATGTACTAACTGTAAGGGTTTAAATTGCCGACCAAAAGTAAACCAACTAGAACGTAAGAAAGTTGATTCAGTTACTCGTATTCAAAGCCCATAATTTCATTTCTCACCAAATAAACAATGCTTTTTTTCACTGTCATTTATTCCGTTCTACGGTCTTATGCTAGGGTATAACGATTTTTATGGCCGACAAGCAATAAAGATACAAAAGCTGATTCAGTGTAGATATACAAAGTTCATTTGCCCAGAATTGCGTGGGACGTACAGAGTCAGTCTACTTGACGCCATTTCCTTGTAAGCTTAATCTAATTTGCAAGATGGTCGAAATAGGCCAAAAATTGCGTATTTCATAATCGATGTTTTCTGTGGCGTTTATTTTGCTCCGAATCCGATATTAGAAGGAATTTTTAAGGTCACGAGTAGTAAGTGTATGCCTCGACAAATTCCATTCAACTAAATTCGATCGCCCTGTATACCAACCACACCAAATCACTCTCCAGATCTATATTTCCCACCACCCATAGTGTGGGATCGGTATTAAAAATCTCTGCAACTGTTACATTTTCTATAAAATCAGGGGTGTGGTTGCGCTATATATAAAAGGACAATTTCCTTGGTTACCAGACCTTAGTTTTCCCACTAATCAGCAACATGTTTGTAAAACTGGTAAGTAGCGTTTCCTTGATCGGTGATAGTGATTTGTGATATCGTGCGCGACACATTTTGGATTATCCGTTATGTGGTGACCTGAATTTTGGATACTCGCCTGTCGTGTGGTGATTTTGGATTATTTTCGAGATAGGACTGTGTTTTTGGAAGTTTGGTGGTTAATTTTGTATCTACTGTTGCGTAAAATGGAGTCACGTAAGTACTTTGGTCATTTTAGTAAAAGGTTCAAGAAGCATTTATCTAGCAATGTTTTTAATAAAACTTCAAATTTATAAGGCACAAAAAATTTAACACAAACTAATTTGTTAATAATTTGGTTGCAAATTATTATAACAATGAATCTTGCCTAAAAACACATTAGAACAAATTCTTGTGATACACTTTTGAGAATCGTAGCAAGAAAAGTGTTTGGAAAAAAGTGATCTACCTATGAAACTGACCTATTTTTATACTAAACTTGAGCTATACCGCTTTTCGGTACGTTTCACAAAATATTTACATTACATTTTTTGATATGCTTCGTAACAATAGTTTTGTGACAATTATTCCATTTACGATAAGAATGGTTTTAAGACTTTTTAAAATGATGGCAAAAAAACGTAATTTTTGGTAGATGCTGTTTTCTTGTACCTACATCTAAAATGAGCAAAGTATGAATGCAGACTATATAGGGTGTTATAGAATGCAGTAAAGAAACTTTAGTGCTGATTCGAATGTATGAAAAAGGTTCATATGACCATATAGACTTCGTGGTGGTTCAAGTATAAAAGAAAGGTCTGGATATGCTCCGGGCTGTTTAAACTTTATGTTTAGCGGAACATTGTATGGCATTGGTTTTTGTAAAAATAAGTCTCGATTACTCAAATCCATACTAATTCTACTTGAAAAGTGTCTCCTGGAGTTTCTCACTATGTTAGTTAAAAAGATGTCAGTTCTATTAGTATTTTTTAACAACGATTGAAAATACTGATCGAAAAACTCTCAAAGGCAGTTTTCAAGTAGAATCAATCTGGCAGTACCACCACCAGCGTACTATTTTTTCGCTAAGCATAATGACGTCCCCAGTGATATAAATGGCTTAAAGACATCCTTAATGTATATTTTACTAATACCTGTAAAAAACTCATCTCAACATCTCAATCTGTTTTCGAAAAATGTGAGGTAGCTATCACAAATAGTGCCACAACTAGTGTCTACCACGTTATAAATTTTTGGAATCAGAATTAAAAACTCTATTTATCTGTGCAAAATCCAATATAGCGTCCATGAGAAAAAATGATGGTGGAAGACAATAGACGAAACGTTATTCTGATTATGCCATCTTGTAGAGAAGAAAAACTGGCAATGTTAATGTGCAATTTATTTTCAAATCCCACTACAAACGAAGTCAGGGAAAAAATAAAGCGATTTTGGTAAAATTCGGTTCTTTCCGTCTTTCGCCGGAAGCACTTGGGATTTTAAAACTTTCTAGGTGGCATCTTGTTAGTTACCTAAATATTCAACTTTGCCCCCACCTAAGCGACTCTGTATCTCTTACCGTTTCCGAGATCGATCCCAAATGTGAGGATCGACTTTGAAACACCCGGTATATGTAGTTTGATTCAGCCAGACAATGGAGTAATAAGAAACGTGAAAATTACACTATAAGTTTCAGGAGTTACATTGAAGTTACATTTTCGATTAAAATATCTTTCTGCAGTCGAATATGATTTCAAAGGTTTAGATGAGATGTTAATGACAAATACTTCTAAAAATAAGAATATGTTCCATATTGTAGTCTACTACAGTAAATAGTATCTATTTTCTTCACGAATATGTCCATGCTTAGAAATATTCGAGTTTATTAAATCATTCACACTCGAACTTATTGAAATCAATTAATTCATTTATACCGTTAGTAGTTAGCATTGCATATTTCATAAACATTAATATTCATGACTTTTATAAAGAGATTTATGATTTATCACTTGTTATTACAGTCATATAGTAGAATCATTTATCGTACACGTGAATTTAGCACCTATAATTATCTGTATAAACACTTAATACATCTTAATTTGCGAAGAGATTCTACTGGTTGTGTGCCTTCGCCCCAATTATTTTAAAATTCGTTGTTGCCCCCCCTGGAAATCCTGCTGGACCTTAAAGTTTGCAAATTTAGACTGATTTTGTGTACAATTTTCAAGATTTTTAGTTTTTACCCACCGCCTTCTTCTCTAGGACACTTTGCCACCCCTAGCTCTACAAACGGTTTTAAGGGCAGGTACACTTTCGCAAGAAAGTTATCTCTTGCGGATGATCGTCCCCCAATTTACGAAAAATTATTGCTTTAGAGAATGGCCAGAAAATATAGCGAAGCTGAGAAAAACATTTTGAAATAGCTCATTTTGCTGAGTTGTAATTTTGAAAAATATGGAAATCGGTATGAAACGTTTTTCATGACAAACATTTTTTGCCGTTTTTCAACTTTCTGTTTACATTAGGGCGTAATTACATCATTTTTAGGAAGGTCTAATGTTATGAAATATAGTAGTAGCAAGGCTGATATTATTTCCTCACACTAACTGGCTAGGTAATGTAAGCGCTAAAAAATTTGAATTTTAAGTATACTCGAAATAGCAGCAGTGTGTCTATTGGAAGTGTATCTCAGTTAGCATTTGACAGCTGGTTCATCACTGTGGCCGCTAGATGTCGCCGATTCTGGTGATATAGTGTCGTGTAGAATAGATGACACATTGTGCTGTATTGTTTCTATATACCTTATTTCCTTGACAGAGGACAGTTACTCAGCTTTCGTTCATTGTGCTGCCTGAGAACCAGCCTAGATCATGCCGAGGAGTTGCCAAAAAGCACGAAACAGCTGTCCATGCATGATCAGAAGTCTGCAGTCGGACGGACGAACGCTGTATTACTAGTTCGAAATATACTAAAGTAGCCGATGAACTTTTTAGTATACTATCATAGAGAGAGCAGGTTTTGGATACCGGTCCAGTGGCGGTGAAGTTATGAGCGAAAAGCAACGAATTCCAAAAGGTGCTCAAACTTTATTTTTTTGTGTCGTTTCGGTTCTTTAAAAATGTTCAGTGCGGTATAGATTTTTAAAAATCCTCTACAATCTGGTCACTTTAGGACAAAATAGGAGGGGGATTCCTATATTTGACTTATCATCATACATTTAGGAGTCACAGCAGTTAAATAGGTTTTCCGGACTTTTCAGAGGACGAGGCTAGTGTTGGCTGACTAGCTAAAATGCAAAGTACAAATTTTCGCGGATTCGCAAAATGAAGTTAGGCTAGAAAAAACATGATTTTTTGTATAAGTCAAGCTGTCGAAAACATTTATTTTTTCATAAGGACAAACTATAAAGAATATTGCATGTCAATTAAAATTATTACAGTACGAATGAAAAACTATTTACAACTCAGGGCGAGCAATAAAAAAACCGGGGGAAAACCATTCCGTACATCAAAAGTGCACAGCTCACAAAACGATAGATCTGTCAATATGAACACTAATATATTTAAAAACTATAAAACTATGTATTTCTATCCTAGTTTGTAAGGCTTTAACCAACGAACATGGCGGTTCGTAAATGACGGCAAATACGGTGTAGAAGTCAACAAGTTGAATTTTAAGAAAGAATGAATATGAAAAAGTGATTACGGATGAACGACTTAATATGTTTCCAAGATCTAAAGGAAAATTTCAAACCGCGCAAGTAGGTACGCATTCAGAGGTGTGGAGGGGGCAGTAGATTTACGACTATTTTTAAATGTATACTATCGGCAAAACTGTTCTTACTTCACACTGGAATATTATTTTTGTGATTCATGTCATTGTTTGTCACTGTGCTGTTACTTTTGTTTAGTTAGTTAAAACGGGTCATCGACAAGTCACCAGCCACTGTACGAACAAATTTAATATGAAAAAAGTATTTTCAAACGATTAATAATCCTCTTTTTTCTGTTACGGGAAAAAATTGACATTTTATCTCTCTTGACATGTAACAAAATGTCACTTTTTATGAAATTACTTTTTTCGCCGGGAAAGAAATGATTGCTTTTTTCACGGATAAATTTTCCGCGATTCAGCTGCCAATAATATTTGTGACGCTACTTTATCTACTTCTACTAATTCCGGTGGTGTCAAAGAAAACTCGGAATCAGACATTTTTTACTTTAAAGTATTAAAAATAACTTCTAAACAACCACTAAGTGCACAATTTTTAAATCAAATCACAAAATTAAATGGACAGCTATCTGATTACTTCAAAAGTTTCCTTAGCAACGCAGATCTAATTTTCGCTATAAGTACAACATAGGCTACTAATTTCAAAATTCAAATTTTACATTGAAAATATTGTAATAATAAATCGTCGTTTTTCACGTCACAGAAAAAAAGTTGTGTATTATACACGGAAAAGAAAACAAAATTTTGCTTGAGCGCTGGGAAAAATACGCCTCTGCCTAAGGCGCTAAAGTAACTTTTCTCTATTGGTTCTATATGTTCTATTCGTTATTGACTGTCAGAGCGGTCCGTGGGACCTTCGCTCTTCCAGTTAAAGGGATGCCTTGCTATTATTAACTGTATTCTGTTATTTTAAATTGATACAAAAATTAATTTAGTGTGTGGCAAAAATCGTAATTTTGGTTGGACCTAGAATTGCACGATTTGATTTTGATCACAGTGCGAGCCGCGGTCTCGTATGATTGAGAACTTGCTCGACTGTCTAATCTACTGACTCACGCAACAGAGGTTGCTGTGCGATTCCGCTTGACTATAACGTAACTGCGCCTGATGTTTGATGTAGTCCCTCAAGTACGGGATGTCGAGATATCTATGAAGGGTCTCGTTGGAGACATACTATGGTGCGTTAGTGATGGTTCGCAAGGTTATGTTCTGCAAAACCTGCAGATTACGCATATGCGATTTGGTAAGGAAAGACCATGCTGCACATGCGCAAGTGATTGCTGGTCTGATAACCATCTTGTATAGCTGAACATAATTTTAAGGTTCTACATAGCACAGGACAGAGTTGCCGAAACGTAATTTGGAATTTAGTTTTTAACGCTTCAGTGTGATTCTGCCAAGTCATCTCCATGTCAAGAGTGACACCGAGATACTTAGCAGAATTTCCCCATGGTATGCGAGCTCCGTTTGCTGAAATCTCAGGCGGGACGCCGCTACGTTTTTTAGTACAATAGATAGCCTGCGTTTTCGGGAAATTAATTTTGATTAGCCACCGATCTGCCTATTCCAATACCTCATCGACCGCACTTTATAGATAGACTTCACAGGACAAGGGACATTATGCGTGAAAAGTGAGTAAAGGATTGGCCCTAGAACCGAACCCTGAGGGACGCCGGATCTGATGGGCCGTACTGTCGACAAGACAATATTATTTTGATCCGAAATTTCCTACCTTCAAGGAAGGATTTCAAAAGTTTTAGGAGCCAAAATGAAAAGCCCTTTTGAATTGGTTTATAGAGAAGGCCATTGTGCTACAGCTTGTCAAATGCCTTCGAGACATCCAGAAGCAAGATGACAGTACTTTCGTTAAGGGTGAAACCCCTGCTTACTCGCTTCACAAGCCTAACGGCCTGTAACTCCGTACTATGCTCAGACCGAAATCCAAATTGCACATCAGGAATCATATGATGATATGACGAGAAATTCGCAAGGTGAAGTAGAATCACCTTTTCAGCGAGCTTAGACGGAGCAGACAGTAGGCTAAAGGGACGATAGTCCTGTGGAAATATCGAACCCACCTTCTTTGGAATCATATGGAATATCACAGTAGTTCTTCAACCGCATAAATCTATAATGCAGCGATCATATCTCTATTTAGCGCCTAAATTTTATGAAATTATACCTAAAGACTTAAAAGATTTACGTTTCGGAAATTGTTTCAAAAGAAATTTAAAAAAGTGGCTACATTCTATATCTAGGACTGAAATTCATAAACTCATAAATACGAACATCAACTAAAACATAATCTACTGTAGCTAATTTTTGTCATTTTTTTGTCATTTGCATTCTACAGTTTCAACTTAAATTATTGGTCCATGTACAGGCGATGCCTTCTATTGGGCCTGTTTTGATTTTATATTTATTTACTCATATTGTTTGTTATCTTTGTACATTGAGTAAATAAATATTATTATTATTATTATTATTATTATTATTATTATATAACTTCCGCAGTCTTCCACGCCGATGGAAAGTACTGGGTTCTTAGCATGGCATTGATAATAGCCACGAGATAAGTCAAGGACTTCCGTGAAAGCAGTTTCAGCGTCTTATCAGTGATTTGATACTCCCCAGGCACTTTACGCACCTTAAAGTCTTTAATATGACATTGAAGCTCTGCTGGTGTGCAATGCGCGATCTCGGGAGAAGCCGCAGATGTGCGGTGCAACTCTTCAGCTGAAGAATCTCCCGAAAAATAATCTTCTGAGGAAGAATCATAATGGCGGCGCCGGGATCACTGACGTCGTTGGCCCTAAAATATCTCCTGAGGGATGTTACAATTTGTTGCTCCTCGTCGAGATCATTATCAAGATCATAGCTGGGAGAGAACAGTCATTCCATAGCATCAGCGAAATCCTCGACCTTGTTCTCTGTCCTAAAGACTATGTTCTCGCTTTCCGTTTCTGAGCGACTTCGCCACTTTCCAGAGAGCAGTACTTGAGTCAAGCATCCCCGCCAGAAAGTCGTTCCATTGCTCATTGCGGAATTCATGCAGAGCATTTGTTACTTCATGAACGAGATTCGTCGCTCTGCGATGAGTTCTATATATGTTGATTGACCACGAGAACTGTCCACATTTATTTGTTACTGAGCAACGGCTGCAACTGCTGTCACCTAAGTTTATAGTATGGTCGGTTCACTTACCTTTTCTGGATATTGATGAGTAACATATTTATATTAATATCCGTGCAACGTCCTTATTCATTTATTGTCTCGATTTGCGTCATAAACGCCCGTTTAACGCCGTAGAACCATAAATAACTTCTCTTTTGCTTTCCAAATTCTTGGACGGGTGGTGTGGATATTTCAAGTGCGAGTGTAACTTTGACTGCGTAGGAAATGAAGCAGTTTAATTATAATAACATTTGATTTGAGTAAATTTTAAGTTATCACTTTCTTCTTCAGGCCGTTTTAGCTTGCAGCATCGCCGTAGCCTCGGCCGTATACAACGGTCCGTTGGCAGGCGGTCTCCCTGCTCACCAATTCCCAGCCGGCGTCAGTCCCCAGGCCTGTCCAAACTTCCCCAACTGTGCTAACCCAGCCGTAGCCGCCAACCCCCAACAAGCCGCACCCTGGGGAGCACAGCCCCAATGGAACGCTCAGCCGCAGAACCACTGGAATGCGCAGCCTCAGGCACAGTGGAACGCGCAGCCTCAAGGTCAATGGAATCAGTGGAACCCTGCCCCGGTACCCCAGTATGGACACAATGACCAAGACAGGTTGAACAGGGGAGAGTACATTGGTGATGGGGATTATCACGGAGAGGGACTTGCAGAGGCGCTTGCACCTGGATTCGGTTAGTATAACCTTCATGCAAGGAAAATGACAGAAAAGGGCTTGCTACAGACTCGATTCAACTGTCAACCTTAACATTTTTCTTTAAACATCTAGCCACGGTGATTCGTGACAAAGTATAACAAATGCGTTAGGTAACATCATTGATTAACGTATTTTACTTGAAGATATCCAGCTTAATGCTATATTCGCGCATCACAAAAAGTTTCCAAGATGAAATGAGATACCATAACGTCATCTGCAGTATCTCATTCCATCAAGAATAATTGTTGTGTAATTTATAAATCTATTAAATGAAAGATATCTTGCAGCAAACAAATTGTTAATAAATACCTCCACCATGAATTATTGACCAGACGAAAGAAAATTATATCTACAGCACCGCATGCATCTCTAACCAAATAACAACAACACGTGTTCGCCATCAGCCGTTTTATGGGCTCCATGATTTGGGTTAATTTCTCTATCTCTCTCTGATTTGTTTGCCTTGCTTAACTGTTTTCTCTTGGTATAACTTCTGTTTGGTAAGGGCTCGTCCACGCTTCTGATAGTAAAAAGGGCAAGTCTGGATCAGCCCATTGCAAGCAAATCACATGTAGTCTTCTAAACACATGCCCACAATTTAAGAAAACATGTTCGGCCCCACATGCCTGATATTGATAACATCTAAAGCGGATCTCGAAACTGAATTTGGTATAAAAGACAGACACATTGCTTACCGGAATCGAATTTGAATTAAGATCCATGTTTGCTGAATGCTTTAGCACTTGAGCAGCGTTTCTGATAGCAAATAAACTTATGGGATACGTCTAGGGGGGAGGCTCACGATTCAGGTCTAGCAAGGTTATTTTTACACCACGATACACCGATATACTACTATTCGTCATTATTTGTCAGAGCGGTCCGATGGACCTTTGCTCTTAGTTAAAAGTCCCGTCGGTCTGTTAGTCTGTCAGGGCTGGCTACCCAGATAATAAACATGTTCAAGGGGAAAAGGGAAAGAAGGAAAGAAAGGAGCCAAGAAATAGAGAAAAGAAAAGAGGTAAATCATTTGAAATAGCTTAAGCATTATTGCTTTGACTACTCGAATTATTTTGTAACTCCAAAAAATAATTTTTATCGGTTTTGTATACTGAAATAATTTTGGCTGGTCTGAATTGCTCGACTATGTAGTGATACAGCGGTGTGTACCATTAAAAAAAATACCATACTTGAGCTGCTCCCTCTGTCCTCGTCTAAGTCCAGCTTTGCAACTGAGAGGGTGTGTCACTACACTCTAGAAAGGTTATTCTCCCCAATCCCGGCATCAGAGGGTTATAGTATTTTCGCATCTGCTCGTAAAAATATTTTGATTCGGTTTTTATAAAATTGTGTCAAAAATTGTTTTAACATTTTTTTCAACAAATTTAAAATTATGTTCATTTCTGTCCAGAAAACCTTATTCCAGGTTTTTTGGGTCATTCAGAACAAAAAAGGTTCTAATGGACCCTCTAAAGTTGTTACTTTTTGTTGTTGTTAATATTTGAAAAAGTTCAATATGCCTCATTTTCTATCACGAAAAACAATATGAAGAAACTAAAATTTCAATGTTTCAAGTGGCAAAAACTGGGTGAACTCTAAGGATATTACCCTGACGCCTCATGGCCAACTTGGATTTGTATGGTGAACACACAATTAAAATAGCCAACATTCTTTTTTCAAAGTAGATCCTCAAATTCATTTTTTTGTTGTGCTACTATCTCATAGATGGCCCAGGATCTTTTAGATTCCTTTTTGGGCACCAAAATACGCTATATCGTTGGCTATTTTCAAGTAGAATACGTTAATTAATGATGCAACTTGAGCACTGAGATGAGTGCGCAGTCACAACGGCAAAGTAATTCATCTAAAAATTAACTCCACCTCCTGTACATGTCCGTAGTCCAAAATATTTTTTCTTGAAAATACAAACTTCAAATTATGATGTGCCTAGTCTAAAACAACTGTATCTTTCAGCTGGGCAACAACAATGGAATAACGGTGGCCAAAACTGGAATCACAACCAAGGCATCCCACCAAATGCCCACCAGACCCATGGTGTTGGTCAAATTCCAGCTGGTGTCAACCCTCAGTCTTGCCCCAACTACCCATTCTGTGGTTAAAGCCATCATCGGAAAGAAAGATCTTCACTTAGAAACTAAAATGAGGTTATAACTAGTCTATTATCAGAAGCGGTATCGAATATCTACCAATCACTGCTATTGGAGCTCAAATGATCTCTTTCTTGTATATACTCATTTGTATGCTGTATTTTGTTTGTAGACTAAAAAAATGGTGCATAGGCTGCCTTAGTAGTAAACAAAGCTTCTACATAACTTCCTTTTTTTCGTAATCATATAATCTAAGCTACACTAATATTGCTTTCTTCGTACATAAAAAAGAGCACTCACATCAAAAGACAGCTCCTTGATTTGAGGAGATCGTGACACTGTGTTTCTTTAAACAAAAGCTGACAATACATGACGCTTCTCATTCTAGGAAGAAAGGATCTTTAACATGGGAATTTGCTTCTTCCTTATCCGACTGCAAAAAAATCTTAGTACGGAAGGATAACATCTCCAAGTACCCGTGATTTTTCTCATAACTTCAAGAGATTTGTGCTCTTTAATCCTCAAGATTTCTCCTTTGTGTGCACCAGTTATGAAGTTTTATGAAGTTTCGAAGATCTTTCTTTCACTATTTTAAAAACGAGCTAGACAGTCAGCTGACAACATGTTGTGTTATGTTTTTTTAAGTAACCGTAGATACACGTGCCTATACAACTCTTTACTTCACTATTTAATGCAAACGTTAAGTTTGTAATCATGATGATACCTTGCTGTGTTTCTTTGTGACTTTCCTACACTTCTTAGATAATTTTGAGTGGGAGAACATTTCATAAATGTTTATGGAAAATGGTATAATATGTACATAGGGCAGGTAGACGTTTTATTTTTGTAAGTTGCATGTTTTTGGAGTTTTGTATACCTATCCATATTTCATTGAATAAAAAAAAGTATAAACTTGTGTGTTTAATTTATTTAGGAGTTGACATTCCTTGATCTAATGACCTATGGTTTTGTGAATAAATAATGAAAAAGATATTTTAAACCATAGCATAGCATCTTTTGGCTTTCAGTTTCAATAAATAATATTGAACGATTTGAGGTTACAGGCATCCGACTTTCTTTCTGTAATTTTTCTATAAAAAATCATAAGGGATAAATTTCGGTGGCAACCAGATTAAGGACAATGTCCCTCAAAATGATAAAAAAAATGTATCCAATAATTCAGTAATTTTTGTTCTTTTTGCATTTGCAGATTGAAAATAGTGTAGAAACAGTAGCGTGGTCGACGTCTTAGAGCCCGACACACCTTAATTCTTGTGTAATTCAGAATGCGGAATGTAGTCTAAAATAATTAATAAAGAATTCTCCGATCACTTCAATACAGCCGTTACTTTATGCACGTATAGTCGCCAAAGTGCTGAGATTATTTCTCCTATTCGAATTAACCGAGAAGTAACGTATGTCCAGGCTCTAGCTAGAGAGGTGTGGTGTGGATATTTATAATGAAGGTAATTTATTAATAGTGTACACAGAAAACATTTTCCTGTTTGATGCAAGTAAATGGTAGGTATGTAGGTTGCAAAACAACCAGTAGCTGGAGCATGTATGAGCAGGTGCGTACAGCAGATGGAACTAAATAGGTACAAACATCTACAAACTAGCGGAATATTAACTTCTCCTTATTTTCCCAAGAGACCCATTCTCTTAAATACGGCTTCAAATAGTCTTGGTATCTCCTACTGAGAGTGTTCGTGACTTGGACAACAGGACTCGCTTGTTTGGGTAAATCGGGTGCGTAGATTCCGAAATCAGCATCAATATTTGAAGGGTACAGGGGAAAAAAGATGTCACAAACAGTGAATTTAAGTTTGAAGACTCCTAGACTCGTTGTACAGGGTGAGTCAAAACTGTGACGGAGTACCATAGATTCCTTATTATAAGAAATTAAAAAAAACAATTATAAATAAAATACAGGTTAGCAAAAAGTGAAACCAGACCACACATTTTTAATGGAAAATCCTGATGATTTTAAACATTTTTTCTGTTAGCGTCCATGCCTGAATTCAACTTTTTTTCAGATATTGAGGCTGGAAATGAGCCTTTTGTCATATGCGACACCCTGTAAAATCTAAGTGTTGATTAACCAGCAAAATGCCTACCTTAGGTTATACGATCTGTTTCAATATGAGAACTACCTTAACAGGAAATTCATTACACAGGGCCTAGAACATAAGAAATTTTCCAACCTCAATAGCTCAAACACAGAATTAGTTCTAAGTCAATGAAATAAAAAAATTTCTATTCCTTCATAATCTCTCTGGTATTTACCATTTTGGATTGGTATTTACCGATCCGTTGAAGAGAGCAGTGCGGTTATCAATTTGGTTATAGGATGCGTGACGTCATGAATCAGCTGTTATATGCCATAGTTATCACCGCAACCCAACTCAGGAATAGTTTTATATTTCTGGTTATTATTTGAAATGTGACAAGTTAGAATTTTGCCGGGTATTGGATATTTCAGGTTCATTTTTGGGAAACTTCAGTTTTAGCAAAAAGTAGAGCACCTTATTAGTTATATTCATAAATGTTGTTGGGGACACTTTAAATCTAGTTCCTATGCTTAACAAAGTATCCTGTGTAGCCATATACCACAAGAATATTAAAATATGGCCATATACACTCTCTGGATGATGTCCACCTGTATGCGGTTTTGCTAATATCTTTTATCATCGCATTTTCCTATAAATTCTGCTAAATCGATAAATGTTTTCTTTGACATGCGAAAAACTTTAGAAAGTTGAAAGTTATCATAGCTACAAAGCCATACTTCCGTCAGTAAACATTTGTTTTCTAAAAAAAAACATTTCTCCCATTAATACTATCTATATGTAAAAGGTTTCTTTTTTAAACTTTCCAAACACCGTTGTACACGGAAAAGCACCGATTATTAAGTGATAATAAAAATAATCAGAAATGATATACCAGCTTTTTTAAAATAAAAAACTTGCAACAAAACCGCAGTTAAAACCAACGCGTTCAAGCGATTCGAGTAACTGACGTCATCAGCCCGTGTGTCATCTTGAGCATTTTATAACCGCGTTACATAACACAGAAATTTTGGTTATTCGCTTGGATTTGATTATTGTGTTACTTTCTGACACATTATGGCGACAGAGGCATACTAACTATAAGTTATAGCTATAGGCACTGAACATTGCGATTTTTTGGTATCCTTTGGTATGCCAAACGCTGTCCCACTTATCGACACAGCCTGGCCTTAAGAGGATATTTTTACCTATTTCGCACATTGACGGGTCCAGCAAAAACCGTGAAAATAGCAGACTTCATTCACCTCAGGATAAATGTAGCGTTTACTAAACATTTGTCATTTTGGCAGCACCGCCTCGGTAGATCCAGAGCCACCTATGAGCGAAATGTCATGATCCTTTGGCAGAATGCCTAGCCATCTATGAGCGAAACGTCAAACCAAGGGCGGTTAGCTCATAGATCGCTATTTTGCTAACAAAACGGCAAACTTGCCGAGTAACCAAAAAATTTACGGTCGTCGGCTTCCCTATCTAGCAGATTATAAAGACATTCCGCGTAGTGACTTCCCTGGATATAACTACTATTTGATATACCTAGCTTTATTGGTTTGACAGCAGTTTTCACTTAACCGTCAGATTTGACAGTTTGTTGTTGATTATTGGGAACTGTCAAAGCAATTAAACGATTTAGGACTACTGCTATTATTCAGCATACAGGCGCGGCAATGCTGAATGCACTAAATGATGATGCCTTGGCTGCCCCTATCTCAAAGCCTTTACTAATAGTGCTTGAACAAGGAAATAAAATAACTAAGTAATTTGAGAATCAAGCGTTTTAAGAATAATACTAGAATTTTGTTACGCCACTGCACAATAAATTTGTCTCTTTGTTAGAAACATTCATTATCCGCATACTTGATATAATATGTAGGTGCATTTAATATTGTTACTCAAACATAAAATCAAGTGGAGTCAAACTGTTAATACCCTTCACCTTAACCTTGCTTCTGTGAAAGCAATAACATTAGTTTTGATGGAATTTGATTGATCTCACCGAGAGCTAAGTAATGTGAATGCAAATTTTTGAATTTGTCCTTTATTTTTAAAAACTGCCTTTCGAACCTCCGAAGTTATTGTGTTTCAGTGGCACTGTAGTTTTCTGCAACTAAAAGAGACATTTTTTCACTAAATGGGATGAGAAGTCGCCAGAATTTATTTTCGAAGTCAACACCCAAATAAAATGATACCTGAATACCTGAAAGTAAGTGAAGAAGAATACTTACTTGAAAGTAAAAGAAGGATCTTACATACAAGAGAAAGGTCTGTCAATGGGATCACCGCTTTCACCAGTAGTAGCCAACATAAACAGGGGTGGCTTGAATCAATCGCTATTAACAACTTAGATGAAGATTTAGCTTCGATATGTGGCCGACACTTTCGTAATCTGGAACCATAAAGAAGAGAAACTACAAGCCTTCTAAGAATACCTCAACAATCTAAAACCATCGAAAAAGTTTACAGGTGAAGGAGAGGACAACAACAGAATCCCATTTTTGGACGTCATGGTACGAAAGAACAATTCCAAAATAGAAACAACTACTGTACAGGTACATACAGGAGAATACCTGAATCGACCGGGCATAGTGTATCTAAAACATGCAAACAAATCTTCAGGAAGAAATCAACCGCATCAAAGAAGATCTAATAAGAAGTGTCTAACTCAAGACGAGCTTTAAATTCAGTTCTGAAAGAGAAAAACAACAACAGTAGAAACTCGCGGAGTGGTACCCCAGCATACACTAATTATGAGGGAATAAGTGATAATCAGAAGAATAGGAAGGCGATACCAAATCGAAACTATATTTTCAAGGAACACCACACTTCGCAGCATCCCCACAAAGTCAAAACCTATGAACAGGTGCTATGTGAATGCGGAGAGATATACGTAGGAGAAAAAAAAAACACCTTCAGTAAGAATAAAAGAGCATAAATCCAACTTGGAATCGGGAAAAACAAATAAATCTGGAATAGCAGATCAGCCTTGGACAAAACACCACAGATCCTGGAGGAACTTCTGTCAGTCCATAAAGAACATTCCTGCTACAGCTAGAATACACAGAATCCTATGCAAAGACACTAGAGCAAGATTAGGATCTCTGTCTGATCCCTCGGGAAGTAGTACTACTTCCGAGGAAGGTACTCTGAGGCTTCTGATGGATACGCACATTCCCGGTTCCACAGTAGCGCGGTCAATCACAGTGCATGCAGTTGCGCAGGCCCTCACGGGAGGACTGGCGCGCTGCAAGTGAGATTGGTACCTTCGAAAGGATGGTATGGGCGATCGATTCGTTTGCTCCATATAAAAGCCCAGGTCTTGACGGGGTACTTCCGGCCAGGTTACGGCATGAGCGGGATTCCTAGCATGTTTGGCCACGAGCTTCACACCTAGAAGTTGTCGGCAGGCTTAAGTGGTATTTATTCCTAAACCGGGTAGAGCTAGATACACTGGCCCGAAGGATTTTCGTCCGATTACCCTTTCATCTTTTGTGCTTAGGGCCTTGGAAAGGATAGTTGACAGATTATTGGGGGATGGCCCGCTGGAGAGGTGTGGCATTCATTCCAATCAGTTTGCATACCAAGCTGGGAAATCGACTGATCTGGCCTTACACAATCTGGTGGGCAGGCTGGACAAGACTCTAGATCAGTGAGAAGTGGCACTGGTGGCATGTTTGGACATTGAAGATACATTTAATTGCACTCTACAACTGACTCTATAAATCCTAGTAGATTGGGTCCTATCCACTCCTATCCACTCTAGAGGGTCTGGTAGCAACAGCTATGCTGAATGAGGAGTAGCTATAACCGGCCGCGTGGTTGTAGTTATTTGTCGGCTTATAACTACAATGTG